TTTTTTTTTTTTTTTTTATTTTAATTACCTGTGATTTCTCTCGAGCATATAAACATCTCTCAAATATGTAAGAAGAAGTTTGCATACTTTAGAAAAATGACAAGTACACATGTTTTTGCAGCCGAGCGCACACATTCATTACCAACACAACATACATTCATTTAGAAAACTCTGGCAGTTCATCTTTCGTATTTCGTAACAAGGATGTTGTTGCAACAAGATCATTAGCAGATAGTATGAATGGGTTTTTTGTTGTTTTTCATAAAGTATGCCTTAAAGTGGGTTCTCATTTTTTAACTTTGGGTTTAACGTATTCTAATTAAATATATATATATATATAATAGATTATAATTATAATAGGATAATAAGTATATATATAAAGTATACAACGAATTTTTGTTGAAACATTTATAACGTGTTTTATGTGTATATTATTATCTCTCCTTTTAGAAAATATTTCTAACACAATCAAAAGATTAGCATTAATTAGAAATTTAACAATATTTCTTCTTTGTAATATGAAAGTTATTATAAAAAAAAAAAAAAAAAACAAAAAAAGGAATGACAAGATACACCTGATAGAAATTTGCTAATAATTAATGTTATATTATGTAAAATCATATTTTTTTGTTTTCTTTGATATTTCATATACACACACATGTATTATATGTGCGCACGGATATAACTAAAAGAAATAATAATAATTAATAATTAATAATTAATAAATAATAATAAACTCCCCCTTTAAGGCAATATTTTAATTCTGATATTAAATATATATATATATATGAAGTCACAGAAGTATTTCTGGTGTGATTTGCATTTTTTTTCTTTTTTTCTTTTCTTTTTAAGGTATCAAATTATAAAGCTCTGCATGCAGAAGATTATCCATTATTTAAAGTAATTTTTTCATTGAAGAATATCTTCATATTATGTAAAACGCCCAAGCTGCTGTTGGATAGTAGTAGTAGGTACACCCCCGAAAAGGGTACCACCACTTAGCAAAAATCTTTCTCTTCCATCGGAACCAAGCACACAGTGTTAAATAACCTAAAGATCCTCATCGTCCTCTGGCAATGCCGTTTCTTGCGCTTCCTTAAGATCCTTTTCAATTTGTTGTTGCCATTGTGGATCCATTGTAACTTCTGGCGGAAGTAATGCAGGCATTGCGACAAATTCAAGATTTGGATCTCCAATCAATTTACGTGCCAACCACAAAAATGGTTTCTCAAAATTGTAATTGCTCTTTGCACTGATATCATAATACTGTAAAACAATTAAATAAATCATGTTAATATATATATATATATATAAACATGAATATAAATGAATAAAATCAAAGTGAAATTAGTTGAATATGTTAAGCTCAGATTAGAGGGACAGATAAGTGTCTTCAAAATTAATTTAAGATCTCTGAATCATCATGGTTGTCATGAAAATTATAAGTTTGGTTAGATTAAAACGCCTGAAAATAATCCAGAATTATTTTAGTTAATAAATCTTAATAATTTTTTGCGAGTTAACCAAAAAAAAAAAAAAAAAGAAAAAATGATATATACCTGTAAATTCTTCTTCCTATGGAAGACGATGCTTTTAGCCTTGACTTTTCTATCCTTAATATCAACCTTGTTACCACACAATACAATTGGTATATTTTCGCAAACTCTAACCAAATCTCTGTGCCAGTTAGGTACATTCTTATACGTCACCCTAGACGTAACATCAAACATTATTACAGCACATTGTCCTTGAATGTAATAACCATCTCGCAAACCGCCAAATTTTTCTTGACCAGCCGTATCCCATACGTTGAATCTTATTGGACCTCTATTTGTGTGAAATATCAATGGATGAACCTCAACTCCTAACGTTGCAACATATTTCTTTTCAAATTCACCGGTTAAATGGCGTTTGACAAAAGTTGTCTTTCCAGTACCACCATCACCAACAAGGACACACTTGAAAGTTGGTATTTCATGTTCTTGATGATTTAAAGCCATATTGTGATGATCAATTGTATGATCCCAAATGAATATTATTTGGTAGAAATGATCTGAAATTATAAACCATATGAAAGTATATTATTATTATTATTATTATTATTAATTTTAATCAATCAATCAATCAATTATAATATTCAATGTTAATAATGTTAATTGCAATAAATAATTTCATAAACTTTTGACGAACACGTTGTTACCTACAATGTGGTAATCTCCTACGCAATAAAAAAGAAACAAAAAATTGACTTAAGTAGTGACTTTCGATGGCGGTCAAAGTATTGTTATCTTGATAAGAATTAATGTATAATATATATATATATATATAAAAATGAACAAAAATAATATTAGAATAAATGTGAATGAAATGTTAACAAATGTAACAACCGTATAATTAGTAACAAGAACGTGTGTGTTTCACGGAACATTCGAATGTCGGCGTCGAAAATGTGATCGATGTGAATTTGAAATGAACAACGTTGGGGGAATATATATCTTCTTTCTTTGAAGTATATTAAAAAATGGTGAAGTAACCAAAATTAATGTAATTGAAATAATTTATAGAAAAAAAACTCCCCTCCCCCCCCCCAAAAAAAAATACGTGACTAAACAAAATTAAATCGTAGTAGGTTAATTAAACCTTTTAAACGACACTCCTGCATCGTTTTATTTGTTTTCCTTCACATCGACTACTTTTTATTAATTGCAAAATATCCCTTTCCCTCCCCCCCCCCAAAAAAAATAAGAAAAACAATTCTCAAAATAGAATAAATATTTGTTGCTTAATATAAAAGATAAACTCATGCTCGTATTTAAAAAAAAAAAACAAATATTCGACGAATTTCCGTTAGTTGAACAATTTTATTTGGTATTATGGATGAAAATAAGTTTCGGTATAGTTATCGTTTTAGGCAAAACGGTTTTATGTTTGTAGCAATGGGTTGGAAGAAGAAACGCGCGAAATGGGAATAGGATGAGGACGCGTCGCGACGCCTGACGTCGGAGTGAGTTTTCAGTAGACGGTGAGCCGTGTTAGGGAACGGTACTGTGAGTCGGGTTCTACCTTGACCCTAACTACTTTCATACTATATTATACTATCCTCAAATTATAAACGCCTAAATATTTCATCGTATAAATTAATCAATAAATTTGAAACAAATAATATTGAAAATAATTAATAAGACATCGAACGTTAAATTGATCATCGATATACATTTTGTTTGTTTGTTTGTTTGTTGTTGTTGTTGTTGGGTGTAAAATTCAAATTTTTTTGTTTTTCTCTATTCGTCAAAAAAGTTGATCAAATTGACAAAATATGTGCAACGAACACGAGGAAGTTTCAAGTGAAATTCGTTTGTCATCGTCAATTTTGTGAATTTCTTTTTCTTTTATTACTTCTTTCTTGTTTATTTTTTTTCTCTCCTCTTCAAGGTATACTTTTTTATAATATATATATATATATATCTATGTTTTTAAATATATATGTGTGTATTTATGACATGTATCGTATGCGCGTGTATTACGTGTTGAAAGTTTGTTTGTTTAATTAATTTTAGTTGAATTTTAATTTAATATAATTAGTTATATTTTTGATATTTTGATTTTCGTCAGGATTGCACGTGTTTTTTATACGTTTTACTTGATTTTCATATAATTAATTATTTTCTTTTTTGATATTTTAATTTTCATGAGAATTGCAGCACGTGTCTTCTATACGTTTTTATTTATTTTTTTTATTTTAATATAATTAGTTGTTTACTTTTTTGATATTTTAATTTTCATGACAATTGCACGTGTTTTCAATACGTTTTATTTGATTTGAAATTCGTTAGAAAATATTTGAAAACATTTATTCTAATTTGCACCTCTCTAACGATTCCCATATTCGATCAGAATTTAATTTAATTTTGATTGTTTACACATGGTATTTAAGAGTCAATGATCTGACAACATTTAAAACGCACACATCAGTAAAAACAATGTGTTAAATGCAAAACAAAACAAGGAATTAGATGTTTCTTTCGATTCATTTCAATCTAAATGATTCAACATTTGTTATAAATTTTTCAATGAATTTACATATTATATTACAAATTATTATACTAAATGTGTATATACAAAAATAATTTTTCAATGAATATTAAATTATTATTGTATTTAACACCACGTTGACCGTCGTCATGTAAATTTTTTAAGGAAATTTCCTGTCAGATGACAAATGTTTCTTTGTATTGAAAAAATAGTTGTTGAACGTGTCGGTCACCCGTGACGGACGTGGCCTAAATGGAAAGTCTAAAGTCAGTCACCGATGACTGACGTGGCGCTCAACAAGTTACAAGTAAATTTGAATATGAACGCAAATTGTTTTTGTGAAAAGTAAATAAAATATATTAAAAATGTTTCTCGCGTAATTCTCTCTTTTCATAAAAATTATCAATAACAAAATATACTCTTTTTATATTATAGATAATATTTCGATGTGTGTGTGTGTGTGTGTGTGTGTTGTGTACCCAACATATGAAAAATATTTCAAGAAAATTTCAATGCAATTCTGTTGACAATATATTGGTACACATATTTTTGTCGAAAAAATTTAATATCAATATTATTATTATTATTATTGTTTATACAATTTATTATGCAAATAGGAAGAAAGGGAATATATGTATAAAAGAAAAGAAAAATATGATTCGTAGGAAATTGTTTAGTTTATGGTGTGTCTCGTTTCGTTGTTGTCTCTTTGTGATCACGATGAATATAAAAAGGAATATATATATATAATATTATATTTTCTTTTTCGAAATAACGTAACGTAAAAAAAGGGGATAAAGATGGAAAAAGGAAGATAGAGAAAAAGAACAAGAGAAAGAGAGAGAGAGAGAGAGAGAGAGACAGAGAGAAGATCGAATAAACGAAAGCTTCTTTTTATTTTTGTTTTTCACTCTTTTTTTCTTTTTTCTTTTTTCTTTTTACTTCTTCTTCTTCTTCTTCTTCTTCTTTTTTTTTCGAGGACGAAGAAAGTTTCTTTTTCTTTTTTTTTCTTTTCCGCTTCTTATCTTTCCAAGTTTATTTTCCGTCATGAATTTCTATATGAGTTTTATCTTCACGAAAAGAATTTCTGGTCTTCAATGGTATTATGGCATACCAAGTGCAAAGTTTATTTAACAAATAAAAAAAAAAAAAAAAAAAAAAAGAAACACGTATCACATACAATGGTTGACATACTACTTATGTGATCAATATTTTCCTCTATTTTTAATAATATTAATAATTATAATCATATTCATTGTTTTATTCTAACACAAACACATTAAATGTGTGTGTGTTTTTTTTCTTGTTAAAAACAATTCTTCGACATTACATTCTTTCTTGTATTTTTATTTTTTTTTTTTTTTTTTTTTTTTTTTTATTTCATCCAATAATTGACGTCAAATTTGAAAATCATTTACGCTACACGAAATAATGCGTGCGCATATACGCGTATTTATTCGCGCGTGTCCTTTGAATTTGCGTGCCTTTTTTTCTCTCTCTCTCTCTCTCTCTCTCTCTCTCTTTCTCTCTCAATCTGTGTTTTTTTAAAAATAAAATCAAAATTGTAATGGTATGAAACGTTTGAACATCATCAACAAGTGTTCGTAACCAATCAACGATAAATTGTTAAACGCATGAACGATTGAAAAATAATTTAAAAAAAAAAAGAAATAAAAAAAAAAATATATATATATATATATATAAAATAAGGTCGAACTAACAAAAAGAAGAAAAAAAGAAAAAAAAAATACACACACGCATAGACATCGGATTGACGTTTCGTTAAATTCATTTTACTTTTTATTTATCGTTAGTCATATTTTGTTAGCATCAAACGAATGCCACGTACACACTTACGTACACGTACGTAAATCGTACGCACGCAGCAAGTTATTATTATTAATACTATTATTATTATTATTTTTATTATTTTTATTATTATATTAGTGAAACGAAGAAAAACACACAAAAGAAAAGTAAATCATTTCATGTGATATCATATTTTTAGTTTATGCAAATTTGAAACGATAAACATAATCCTGTCATTCCTATGATCCACCGTTCTTCTTTCTATCCTTTTAATCCTAATATTTCTTACGAAGAAAAGAAAGAATAAAAAATAAGAGCAAAGGAGTCCATTATCGCAAGAGAAAGAGAAAGAGAGAGAGAGAGAGACAGATCGTTATATCTTTCTTGACTTTTTTTTTTTTTACGTCATAAAAAAACATCTCCAAGAGAAAATGTTTTTTCGATGGGGTAACAGACTCGTAAAGAAAATAAAACTAATGAAAAAGAAGAAGAAGAAGAAGAAAAAAAAAAGGAATGAAGTTAAACGTGTTCACGAAATGATTTAACCAACGAGATACTTTTAATTGTGTGTGTGTGTGTATTCTTGCAAAATAAAATATCAATGAAAATAAAGAAAGTAATCAAGTGAACGACAATTACGATTACGTGTTTCGAACATATTTATTTGTTTCACTTCATTTTATTTTTTATTTTTTTTTTTTATTCTTCAATGTTAATATTATGGTGTCCGGTGACACCACGCTGGTACCATGGAAAAACTAGTGTGTTTGCTCGTTTATTCTTCAATGTTAATTCTATGGTGTCCCGGTGACACCACGCTGGTACCATGCAAAAACTAGTGTGTTTGCTCGTTTATTCTTCTATGTTAATTCTATGGTGTCCCGGTGACACCACGTTGGTGCCATGCAAAAACTATCTGTTGTATGCCGGTGGTACCACGTTGGTGTCATTTAAAAATAATCAAAACATTTGAATTATATTTCGTGGTTGTTTAAGGGAACATAATAACTATAAAATTGTGCTTTATTTAATCAAAAATTAAGTAAGAACAATTTTTGGATAACATATTTTAATGAAAGCAATAAATATTGCCGTCACTTTCTAAATTTTGTAAAAATTCCAAATTTCCAAGCGGCACAGTGTTAATATATGAAAATTGATCGTATAATAAGATGAATTAACAATCGATTCAAACGAAATTTAAACAAACTTGAAATACAACAAATTGAAAATGGTTTACTTTTACTTTTTCGTGGTTACAATAAATCTTTTCATGGTAAGATGAATTCACGTTGTGTTATAGTATATTCACGTTGGTTATATAATTATCTTAAAAGCTTTTCTAGTTTTACGATTTGTCTGTAAAGCAGTTCTTTCTCAGTTAAAATGTAAATAAACATTTAATAAGAACAAAAATACTGAATGAAAGAAAAAGAGTGGGAAAATAAAAATAGATAAAAAAAAAAAGAGAAAGAGAAAGAGAAAGAGAAAGGAGAATGTGTGAAAAGAACAAACAAACTGGTTGTCACGTGTTTTAAAAATGAAAAAAAAAAAAAAAAAAGAAATAAAATAAAAAACAAAATTTTGTGATATCGTATGGTATTGGAAAATTGGCAAAGATACAAAAACTTGTATGAAAATATCTTTTGATAAAAAAAAAAAAAAACATTTTCTCTTGTTAACACGTTAAAGAAATAATCTAACAAATTCATTTGAAAATCATGTGGTTTAATGGTTTTAAAAGGTAATACATTTTATCCCCGTGCTATTCCTTCGAAAGTGAAAAGAAAAGGACATTTTTATTCTCATTCCTTGATCGTATCAATCTCTCATTCTCTCATTCTCTCTTTCTCTTGCTCTCGAGAATAAATTTGGTCTTTCTCTTTCTCGTAGAAAACTCGTGTCGAGGGTGGTATTCTCGATTATATTAAAGGGATAAGAGTAAACGTTAAATCAGACCTATTTGTCTACTTGTCCTAATCTTCTCGAATGATTTACTTACATTCCTTTTTATATTATACAATTGTTTTGCACAATTTACAATTACAAATTGAACAATACAATGATAGTTAAATAAATGTTTCATTGTGATAATTTAATTATCATATAATTGATATAAATAATTTCTTTTTCTTTTATTCATATAATAATATAGATCTTTTTTAATTTGTGATTTTCTATTTGTTTATTTATTTATTGAACCGAGAATGGAAATTTTGCGAAACAAAATTATATAATAATTTTGAAAAATTATTTATATTATATTAATATTTAAAAATAATTATAATTTTATAATATTATAATATAATTTTAATAAATTTATTGATAATTTTTTAATAATTATTTCTATATAATAATAATTATAATTTTAATAAATTAAAAAACAAAAAAATATAATAAATAATTTTTTAAATAATTAGAAAAAAGGTAAAATAATTTGATTACTTTTAGGAAAATAAAAAAAAGAATGAAATTAAATTAGAAATTTATTTACAAGACGAAAAATATGAACGATATCATCATTGTTTTCAATTGTAATCATGGATAAATATAAACGCAATGAGACGACCAGCATCATTATCAAAATGTCGTCATTATCGTCAATTCCTGAAAATCGATCGATTAATTTCCATTTAATTGCGGTAGTGTAGTAACCACAACTAACGAATAAATCGATAGTTAGTAGTATATCTCAATCATTGTGAACTAATTTAAGATTTTGAGAAAAGTTACGATTTTTTCTTTTTATTTTAAAACTATTTCTTTTCTTTTTTATTATTATTATTATTATTATTATTAATAATAAATAATTAATGATATTAATATTTGTAAATTTTTTGTTAATTTTTGTCTACATTTTATTTTATTTTTGTTTTGTTTAATTATTGTAATCAATGATATAATATATAACGCATACAAATACATTGATCTGTAAATCTAATAATAATAATAATAATAATAATTCTAATCTAATTAAACATGATGATTATAAATTCGTGGAATAATTTTAAGTAAACTTTAAACAAGTGAAACGACGCGTCGTTTCGAATTAAAATAAACAATCAGTGTGTAAAGCAGCATATACAAACATTTGAGTTTAAGTACTCGTTACGAACACTTGCTTAGAAAGTTTGGAATAATAAGAGCTCCTAGTTCTATTTTATCACGTTGAGTGTGAACGAAAATAGATCGTTCAATAGATAAAATAGTAGTAGTAGTAGTAGTAGTAGTAGTAGTAGTAGTAGTAGTAGTAGTAGTAGTAATAGTAATACAATAGTAAAAGATTGACGAATAGAAAAAAAGAAAGAGAATTAAAACCTGAACACAGATAAAACATTAGGGTTGTTAATTAATTTATTTAAAATAATATTGTCAGGGTTTTTATTAACAATTCAAAATTTTATTTAATGTAAATTATTTAAATTTATTATTTATTTTTTTTAAACAAATATATTTTATATATCAGCAATTATTTCGATTTTATCTGATAGAAATAAATTTATAATAACTAATTAATTTTTGAAGATAATTGAATAAAAAAATTAGACAATTTGTCAATTAAACAATATTGATTAATCTTGTTAAAAAGAATAAGAGATAGATAGATAGATAGATAGATAAAGGATAATAATTTATCAGATTTCTTGGTGATCTTTGCTTTAACCTCGAGCCTGACTTTTACTTGACTCTTACTACTTGCACTTTTATTTCTTTCTATTTCTCAAAGGACTCATATATCCTTCGAAAATCGTGTTACCAATTCGTTCTGGTTAAATTTTTCAAAACACTTAATGGCTCCCTATTGTAAACGAGTCTTTCTAACGATTCTCTGGTCTAAAATAAATATAATTATAGTTTTTAATTATAAAAGAAATAAAAGATATTAAATGTGTGCTGCTATTGAACGAATTGTTTAATTTTTCAATCATCATAAAACTCTTTTCTTCTTTCCTTTGTTCTTTATCTTTCTTTCTTTTTTTTTGCTTTTTTTTGTTTTTTTTTTTTTTTTTTTAATATACATCCTTTGAATTGGATTTATTTATTTATTTTTTTTTTTTTTTTAATAAACTTGTATTTAATAATTTTAAAGCAAATGAACACGAATAAATGAAGTATTAATTTCATAAACCTTTGTAGAAAATTATTAAATGCACACAGAAGTTAATTCGATACCAGAAAATATATTTGACTTTGAATATCTCAGTAATTATGCACTTTTAGAAAACGAAAATAAAATTACAAAAAAAAAAAAAATGTAGAGATACATTTTGTAGTAAATTGATTAAACTTTAAACCAATGCAGAATAGATTTGTCAAAAGAAATTTTTAATATATTTCCTCTCCCCCCCTATTTTCGTTTGTTCTAATTTTTCATTAATTTTTAATTAACAATTTTCATTCATCTTTTAATAATAAACGTCTAAGTTATCATACTTTTTACTATTGTTAATAATAGTTGTTTTAAAAAAATAGAAAGAAAGAAAGAAAGAAAGAAAAAGGGGGAAGAAAAAGAGAGTTGGAAAATTATGGAAAAGTAAAAGAAACAAAGAAAAAGTAAAAGGAAAGTAAAATTATACCTTGGTTACAAGTTTATTTTTATTTGTATTTTTATTTTTTATTTTTATTTTTTTTTCATTTTGTACGTCACTCGTCAAAGATAGCAACAAGTTAGATATTGTTACGAGTTCTTTCATTAGCTATGTTCTTTTCAAAAAAACAAAACAAAAATGGGGATGAAAAAAAGATCGAAATTCGATATTCCAATTATATGATAAAAATGAAAAGTATAAAATTAAAAAAAAAAAAAAAAACTAAAAATTAGAACAAGAAAAATACAAGAAGAGAATAAATTAATAAAACTCGAAAGAATAATTCAACGAATAGAAAAAAAAAAAATATATATTTTCTTATCTATCTTTCTATTTCCTCTTTTTTATTTTTATTTTTTTATTTTTTCTTATCGTTCAAGAAAAATTACTTTCAGAATGTATTAGCAAATATCGATTTATCGAATATAGTAAAAGTTATTAAAAGTTTTACAAGAACGTTCTCTTCTTTTCTTCAATGTTCTTTTTTTCTCTCTTATTTTTTTTTTTTTTATTTTTTTTTTTAGTTTTATTTTACTCTAATTGAAGTATTAAATATCTGTATAACAGTTGCATACAACGATTTCTCATGAATATTCAATACATTTCTTTTTTTTTTTTTTTTTTTACAAGAGTATTTGAGACAATTCAATAACGAGAGGATCAATTTGCGAATCAATTGTGTGTTACAAGTACAAAACAATTGTATTATCTATCATAATAATTATTCAAATAGTCGGATAAGATTTTTATTATTAGATCGAGTCATAAGTAATTTCCGATGCGGCTATGTAAAATCTTTTTTTTCGTATTTACATTTTTATACAAAATATCAAATATAAATATACACTCGTATTTTAAAAACTTAACAAAAGTACGTATATTAGAAAAGTTTAATAATAGTTGTAACACATAATAATAATAAAATAAAAAAAAAATACAAAAGATATACATTACAAAAAAAATTAATGGAATAATCGAAATATCGATTGTATGCAATGATATGTAAAAAAAAATAATAATAATAATAATAATAAACAATTGATAATATGATCATTAAATATTTCACTGATTCGTGAAAATCAATTCTATAATGATTCGAAGTTACAAATTGAAAAATATAACAACAATAAAAAAAAGTAGGAAGAGGAGGAGGAGGAGGAGGAGGAGGAAAGTGGCTCGTTAAAATAAGAAATGTGAAAGTGTGTATGCACGTGTATGTATTCCTGCATGTAAAATGCATTGCACCTGTGTAAATGTGAAGCTTATTTTTTTTTCCTCTTTTTTTTTATGCGAACAAGGAATTAACGATGAAAGGAGATGGAATAAAGTTAAAGTTGTTAGATATATATATATATATATATTTCGTATTCTAATTTAACTTATGTGGTTCAAAGTGGACGAGGAAGCGAGAAAATGGCTGAGAACGGGAACTGTCGGGTGCAAGTGGAAATTGGCGAAGTTTCCCATAACGTTGATGTCCAATTGCATTCAACTGAGGTATCATAGTTTATTATTAATATTATTATTATTATTATTATTGTTATTAATATTATTATTATTATTATTTTATTATATTGTGTTAAATATATTAAAAGATAATAACACATACACACACACGATTTGTAATAATTGCATTTATAGTATCTCGTTGATAAAATAAAAAAATAAAATACGAATAATAATTTTAATTTAAAATAAAAAAAAATAATAAAAAAAAAAAAATAAAAAAAATCTTTGAAAAGATAAATCTTATTTTTGTTGTTGTCCTTAGATATTTATTTATATTTCTTTGCTAACTTCGTAATCCGTAACAGCAATAAACTTTTGTTAAAAGTTCGAAAGAAGTATTTGAAATATTTTCTCGGATAAACTTCTTTTTTTTTCTTTTTTTCTTTTTTTCTTTTTTATCATTGTTAATGTGACAACACTGTGATGTAAGTTTTATTATTAATACTTTCTCGGATTTAATGCAAAAACGTTCGTTAACTCGATCTCTTTTTTTTTTTTTTATTCTTATTTTAATTTTTCTATTTCCATTTCTCTTTTTATAATACGAATAAAAATAAATTGATACGATTTATCACGATAAAACTTGTATCCTGAATAATTATGATATTATATTTATATTTATTATCATAAATATAACGTTAGTTTATCATTTTTCTTTATTTATTATTTTACAATGTAATAATTGCGAAAAAGGATCCAATTGGTATAGAAATTATTGATAATAAAATATTAAAAAAAAAAAAAAAAAAAAAGTCTTATAACATAAAACACTGTCATTTATGCAAGTGTTTCGATTGCTTTGGTGTATGTGTGCAAATCGATGAACATTTAATTTCTTCTATTGAGTTTGGCTAGTCAATCTTAATCAAAACATAGTAGTAGAAGAAGAAGAGGGAACGACGGTAAACAAGTTTAAGATTTAACGATTGAAAAAAAAAAAAAAAACAAAACTGAAATATCTAATCGCGATCAAATAAAAAAATTTAATGAATAAATTATTACTTTACCTATAGTTAGAAAAAATTCAATAAATAACAACAAATTATAATAATAATAATAATAGTAATAATAACAACAACAACAACAAAAATATCAAACTAATAAATAATAAACAATACTAGTAATATAAAAAAAAAAAAATTCCTTTTTAACAATAAATATCAAATATCTCTGTAAAGATGAATTGAGATGGGGATTAGGGGAAGATAAGTTTATCTCTTATTACATTATTTCTAATATATTTTATAACAGAATGAAATGACGAGCGAGGTCAAAGGTAAACGCTGTCAAATGCAGATGAAGCAGGTAACCTCGGATCTCAGCAAGGAGGATGAGATATGCGTCGCTCCAATCGAGGAACAAAAACAAGAACAAAAACAAGAACAACAAGAAGAAAAAATAGAAAAGAGGATATTACAAATGCAACAACAACAACAACAACAAGTGCAACAGAATAATTCGCAAAATTATTCGACAACAACGACGTTAACAGCAACGACTGATATACAACAAATTGATAAGTAAGTATTAAATTTATACATACAAATATATATATCATATCATATCATAGTTTCATATTATATATATAAAATTATTTCTGTACTACTTTTTTTTGCTTTTGATTTGAAAAATCAATGTGAAAGGATTGCATGTCAAAATAGTAATCATTTCATATCGTAAATCTTCTCTCTTTCTCTTTCTCTCTCTCTTTCTCTCTTATCTCTCTTTCTATTTCTGTCTATCTATCTTTGTTTCTTTTTTGAAAGATTAACGAGTGTATTAGTATTAGTAATAGTATCAGTAATAGTAATAGTAGTAGAGTACATAGTCTTTGCTGTTTGCTTTTTGTCGAATGCAATTTATCATGAAACATTAAAGCAAAATAAAGGTGTTAAAGGATAAATGATAGGGAAAAGGGGGATGTGTGTGTGGGGGATGAGGAGGAGGAGAAGGAGAAGGAGAAGGAGGTGAGAGAGGAGGGTTAAAGAAGAATATCCAATGTAATTGGAAATCGTCATAAAAAATATCACTGCTGTGCTATCTCGTTACCTTTTATCGATCATTTTACTCTCTACTTTTTATATATCCCCCTCCTTAACTTTTTTTTTTTATCATTTTTCGTTCCTCACGATATTCTGCAGTTTTTGTTTTACAGTTAGTAAATGTGTGTGCGTGTGCGTGTGCGTGTGCGTACACGCGCACGCGTATTTTCCTCACTCTCCTACTAAGTCCTTCATCGATTCCTTTTTTGTTCAATTTTTCCTCCCCTTCCCCCTTCCCCTTCCCCATTCCCTTTTCAACCCTCTTCCTTATAGTCCTCTCCCCTCCTCATCGATTTTTATTCATTGATTCTTAAGTTATTTTTTAGACACGTGTCAAAATACAATACTTCGTATATGTATAGATTTATTTATAATAAATAATTGTAAAAATTCAATTTTTTTTATTATTTATATTTTTTTGTTTAACACGTTGCAGCAAATGACGGTTATAGTCGTCCGATCTTTGTGTTTCTGATTACGATCTTCAAATTAAAAATGTGCGGCAACGTGTAAAAAAAAAAGAAACATGTTTATAACAAATTTTGATGTAATATTTTACACATAATAATAATATTCGCTTGCTGATTTGTGAAAACAATCAAAGGGACGACATCATGTGTATCATGGTGTATGTAATATTCATGAATTTAATATATATATATAGATATTTGTATCGTTCATTGGATTAATTAATGATAAATTCTAACGGATAAAATATTAACGATAGATTAATTCTAAATTAATAATATTACGATCAATTAATCAACAATATTTGATGTAAAAATTATTATTATTTATAATAATAATTCTACTACAATGATAAAAGCCAAAATTAATTAACTAACGTTAAATGTCATATTCTATCAGATTACGTTACATTGAAATCAAAGTAAATTTATTGTTAATTAGAATATGCTAAAATACCAATGACACGATCGATAATCGAATAATTTAATATAATGTAATATGAATGTAAACGTTTTTACGGTATACTTCGTTAATGTTTCATCCCTTTTTTTTTCTTCTTCTTCTTCTTCTTCGTTACTTCCTTTGAATAAAAAAAAGAAAAAAAAATATATATATATATATATATTAACACTTTAATGGCCGCACGTCTATGCAGTCAAACGTCGCCAGTAATAGCGCGGTAATATTTTTGAAAAATTAATTTAAACAAACCTTTATTAAATTCACGATAAAACTAACATAAAAAATAAACAACAACAATAAATTTAATTTTAATATAATTTTAAATATATAAAAAGTTATAAATAAATAATGGCCAATAACGGTTGTTTTCGGCTATCACACACATGTTGTGTGTGAGCGGCCATTTAAAGGTGTTAACGAAATATTCCTATCAATTATTTCTTATGGACATTTCTTCTGTTTGTTATTTGCAAAACGAAGATTCACAACTCCTACATGATTTTCTTCAAACAAAAATTTTCTTACGCAACGACGAGTAATACAAGTATTTTCGGATTGGCTATGAAAGAAGGGAAGAAAGAAAGAGAGAGAGAGAGAAGAGAGAAGAGAGAGAGAGAGAGAGAGAAAGAAAAACAATATTTTCGTCTTGTTTTCACATGAAATATTTTCAAATACAATGAATCTCGTATTTAATTAAACTTTTTTTTTTTTAATATAAAATTTAAGCAAATAATATTTTTATTATTTGATGGGAAAAAATTCAATTCTGTTTTTTTTTTTATTCTCTTTTATTTAATGAGAAAGAAAAATGTATAAACGTAAAACACAAATTGTATATAAAAAATAACATAAAAACGAGATTAATAGTAAATGAATTTATCGATAAGAAATATTATAGTAAATTTCTTTTTCTCATGCTTTTTAAATCTAAAGAAAAAAAAGAAAAAAAAGAACTGTATTTTTTCCGATTAGAAATATCTAAATAAAAGTTTTACACAGAGAAATTTCGAAGAAAATCACTTGAAAATAATCAAAGAAAACAGGATAGAGTCGAATAAGATGAAAGATGAGATTACTCAATATTCTAATCTTATACTAACGTAAACACGTCTTTTCATTTCCAGAAATACAAATTTCTTTTTTAATCTTCTTCTTCTTTTTTTTATTTTTATTTATTTTTTTTTTATTTTCAACGTTGATCAAAAATCATTCGAACATATTATATTTAATTTTCATTTTCTTGCAATATCTTAGAAGAATATTTAAAAGATTTGTAATTTGTAAATTGTTATTTTCGAAGATTAAATAAAAATCTGAAAAATATCGTTAAGAAAAAGAAAATGGCAGACAAGGAGAGGTGAATGGGTGAAAAGGGAAGGAAAATGGAAGATAAAATTAATTTTTTATTAAAGTAAATATAATTTTTCTTACTCGAGAGAAAAAGAGAGAGAGAAAGAGAGAGAGAGAGAGAAAAGCGTGATCCAAGAATTTGTTGAGAAAGTATTTATACGCAAATACTAACACTCACACGTATAAAATATAAATTATATATATATATTTGTATTTTTTATTATTTATTTTATTATTTATTATTATATTGTTTATTTATTTTTATTATTTATTATTTATATTGTATTTATATTATATATTAACATATAATATATATAATATAATTCATATAAATTATATGGATATGTTTTCTGTAAATTTAATAGCAAATGTGAATTGAAATTTTTTCCAATCCTATATTACTGCCATTACTAACGTCTTTCATACGAACATGCAAGATGTTTAATTAATACGACTAATTAGAATACGTAATTCGTTATTACTGTAATAATGTTTTATTCACAATGAAACAAATAATTTCTCTATCGGATTGAATAAAATAGAAATATCAAGGATATAAATATAATAATAATAATAATAATAATAATAAAATATTTATTCCGTGCTATCCGATTAATCAATACCCGTTCGTCATTTCATTTTTTTCAATTAAAAATCTTCGGCGTTTTAGATTCGATAAACTAAAGAGAAAAATAAAAAATAAAAATGAGAAATAAAAAATACGTAGAAATGCTTTTGCTTTACGTGTCAACGCAACGTATATTATTTTTTATATATATATATATATATTTTTTTTTTTAATTTATATACGAAAGATTGTCAATATTTAATATTTTTAATTTTCTTTCATAACATTCCTTGGAACAATAAATAATTATCATATATATATAATAATTTAATATTAATTATTATATTATTTTTATTATATATATTTATATATATAAATAAATTATGATTATTGTTCTTGAAATGAAACATGATGATTTGTAGTATTTCTTTTTATCATAAAAATCAAACCCCACAATACACGTGGGCGTATGTACGTATTATTAATGTGTGAGTAATTGTGTCCATGCATGCAGATGAATTAATTAGGTTGATTAAGTCAAACCAGAGTAAATGTGAGAATTCTCAAATCTTATGCATAAAGATAGGATAGAAATGAGAAAGGGTCCTGCAAAAGGTCATAGTTTGCTAAGAGCTATAAGGATAAGGAACAGTAGACGAAAAGGGAGTGGTACGAGGGGGTGGGGTGGGGAGGTGGAAGGGGGAGTGAGGGAAGTTCATCGTCAAATTCGAGTAAATCGATGAGTTCGTTTCCCTCTCTCTCTCTCTCTCTTATTAATAGGATTGATGGATGACCTTCAACTATCTTTCTCCTACTACAAATATATCCAGCAAATGATACGAATTTGAATCTATATTAATTCGATTTGATTATAATTCAAAATTATACCACCCACCTATTTTTTTGTTGTTGTTAAAAAAGTTTACATAAGTTATTTCTTCTTTAAAACAGTCTTTTTTTTTTTAGATATATAGTATTTGAAGTTTTTTTTTTTTTTTGACAAAATGTAGTTTTTCAACAATTTGATATAAAAATGTTCTTTCTATTTTTATTTTTTTTACGATAAAATAAAATAGAATAATATATTAAATCGTTGTATTGCAAAATTCTGTCATTCATAGATGCTAAAATTTGAAAGTAATACAAGTCAAATAAATAACTTAATTAAGTTGGACTAATTAATTTTACACCTGAAGACTGACTTACTCTTGAAGGTCTAATTAATGAAGATTGAAATTTTCAAGGAATTTCACATATGAAATATTAAACTGAAAGTACACGCTTTTATAATGCATTTACCTTTGATATGAAACCTTAAACAAAAAAATACTGGTATATATATGTATGTGTGTATGTGCAAAAAAAAAAACAAAACAAAAAAAAGAAAAAGAGAAAGAATGAAAGAAAGAGAAAGAGAAAGAGAGAGAAAGGTCATGAAAGGTCATGACATGCTATAGAGTACCCTTTCAACTTGTACAATATGCTTTTATTCGACACATGTCACAATACACGATCAACGAAAAGACCACCCCCTTTTTTTTTATTCTCTTCTTCCCCTTAAAAAATATAAAAGGTTAATAAAAAAAAAAAAAAAATGAAAAACTATTATATCCACTAAACGATACTTTACCTATTATCGATTCTATCAAAACTAACAATAAGTTTGTCTATGAATTATGTAGCATTATTACAAATTTGAAAATTTGATTAGCAATATCAGAAAGATCTTTTCTTATTTGAAAGTTCAAAGAAAAAGGTCATGATGGAAAATGTTGAAAGTTGGAAAAAGATAATTAAAAGAAAATTTGAAAAGGTCATTGAAATATATGAACGATTAGGTGTCGTTGATTTCATTTTTGTTTCTTATTTTCTTTTTTAGAATTTAAAATTATCGTATTATACATTATGCTAAATTTTATTATATTTTATTTATTTTATATATTATATTTATTCTTTTATTAATTTCACACGAAGTTTTTTAATAACAAGAAAATACAAGTCCCATACAATTTGATTATTTTGATTTATATTTTATGTTACGAATTTAAAATTATCGTATTATAGACTAGGCTAAATTGTATTATATTTTATTTATTATATTTTATTTATTTTATTATTTATATTTATTTATTATATTTTATTTATTTTGTTATATTTATTATATTTTATTTTACCCTCATTTTTATTTTTTTCTTGTTGTTGATATAACTTCGTCTTTAATAAAATGAGAGAAAAGAAAAAGAAAAAGAAAAAGAAAAAGAAAAAGAAAAAGAAAAAGAGGGGGAATATTTCGTTGTTAGATAAACGTGAAATAAAAAAAGAAAAGAAGAAAAAAAAGGAAGAAAGTAAGATGAACGATGAGGACACTTTAATCGAAGTTAAAATCTACAGTAAAATGGTGAAAGAACTTTAAATATATAACCGAGACTAATTCTTACGAATGAGAATCGATCATCATCTTGACATAACTTGAGTGAGAACTTGAAACATTACGAATACTATTACATTACTATTACAAGTACTGCAACTAGATAAGGAAGAAATATTTGCACATGCATTTGTACATATGTGAACACACACAGAAACATATATATATTATTACTATTCACTATTACTATTACATGATGAACAAGAACATTCATACATACATTTGTACATATGTGAACACACAGAAACATATATATACATATATACTATTACTATTCACTATTTTATTGCACGATGAGTAAGATCGTTCGTTTATACATTTGTACATATGTGAACACATGGAAACATATATATACTATTATTATTCACCATTACTATTAAATGATAAGTAAGAACGTTCGTAGATACATTCGTACATATTGGAATACACCAACACTACACTGTGTTACTATTACTATTACTATTACTATTACTACACCTACATTACACTGTGCTACTACTACTATTACTATTACTACACCTAACTACACTGTGTTACTACTACTATTACTATTACTACTACTACTACTACTACTACTATTTACAATGATAAGGAAGAATAATTCGTACGTTAGTTGTCATTTGCAAGATAAACAAAAGGAAATAAGCTTTCTATATATAACCATCTTTCTCCTTTTATTCTTTTATCTATCAATCTATCTATCTATCTATCTATATATATTTCTATCTATCTCTTTCTCTCTCGTTGAAATGTCTTATCTTAAAGAGATAAGGGTTGTCGTTTAAAACTCTTCGGTTGTTCGATGCTAATGTTAAATCATCTGTTGTAATTCTTTTCGTTATATATATATATATATATATATATTATATTCTTATCAATTTCTATATATTAGAGAAATTATTCTCTTATTTCTTTGTTCAAATAAGATCCAGTAAATTTTCAAGACATTTCATTAGTCACGTTATAGACATGACATCGAATGTATAGTAAGTAAGAGGAAGAGAAGGAGGAAAATGAAATTTTCATCAAATGTCCCAGTTGGGTAGGATAACGACACTCCCTAAAGCCTTATATGCATAATAAGTTGAACAAATGGCAAGTTATTATAGTAACTATATATATATATATATACAAACACATTTATATATATAACATACCCCCACATATACATCATGCATATATTCAAATGAAATTATATACTATAAGTAAGTTATATATGTACAAATATATTATAAATATTACTAGAATAGTAATTACTATATTATTATATAATAAATATGAATATATATATAACCTACTTATAATATATATACTTACATTTGAATATATGCATATATATATTTACATAAATACATTCATAAAATTTTCTACACACCTACAAACCACAAACTATATATATACTTTGATAGTACCCTTGATTTTTTTTGTGTGCTTTAAATATTTATGCATTTTTTATTTTTATGATCGCAGTTATAATATTCTTAGCACACAAAGATGTAGGGCATATATTTTATTATGTATGTGTAGGTGTATTAAAAGGGTGACTTTTCCTTCATGTTTTTTTTCTTTGTCCTCTCCTTTCTACCCTTTATAATTTTCATTCTTATTCTTATTCCTTTTCTTTCTCTTTCCCTTTCTCTTGTTAGTTTATAACAACTCACATATTCTTTTACCTTTAAGAAGTTACAACAGTGACTTCGATTTTTATATATACAACCAGCCTACCTACGTTGTTTAACTCGTAAAAGAATTGTCAAGCTAACTTTTCTATTACGATCTAATAATATTTTATTTTTTTTCTTTTTTATTTTTCTTTTTCTTTTCTATTCTATTTTATTTGATTCTATTCTTTTTATCAACGTTATAAAATAAAATTTAAAAAAAAAGGGATTCCTTTTCAAAGTCAATTGTACTTTCTTTCAATAAGATCAAATCAAATTGAAAATTATAAACATTGTTGGTTTCCATTTAAAAGTTTCAATAGAAATATCGTCAAAATGAATTATTGAACATTCAAGAAAACTTCTTTTTTCTTTTTAACAGTCATGGTTTATTGTACAAAAATATATGTGTTGTGTGGTAGGGTTCAAAACTTTTCAGTCCTACTTGTTGTTTCAATTGTTTTTCTACGGGAAGAAGAAAAAAAAATAAATTAAAAACACTAATTGTAATGAACACTAATTAACGTTAATTGGGATTAATTAAAATATCAATATTGAATTAATTATTAAAGTTTCATATCGTTTAATAGACGTTGGTAAAAGTTTAATTAAATGAAATTATCCTTGAAACTTTTCATCCATTTGTTGTTTTTTTTTTACAATAAAAAACATTATTGATAATCATACTTGATTATATTATTATTAATTACGATATGATGAATAATCAAGAATATATTAACGATTCTTACCTCAAACCGTAAAAGTTTGTTTTACGTTTAAAATTAAACGATATTACATTGCTTACTATTTATTGCAATTTTAATCTGAAACACATTTGAACGGAGACACGTTAATTGAATGGAAACGTGAAAGATTATACTCGTTGATGGATTTATCGAAATGTCTTTTAATTAAAATAACATTATCTCAAATAAAACGAAGAAGAAAGATATGAAAGATATTTTTCTAAAAAAAAAAAGAAAAAAAAAAAAAATTAAGAAAAGAATCACACTGTAAAAGTATGTACTTATTTATTTTTCATTACTATTTTTTTGTCTTTTTGTTTACAGATTCAAATCAAGTTCGGATTTGTCCGCTTCAACTCTCACAATCAGTCAAAGGTTAGAAATGATAATATTTTTTTCAATTAATTCATTTCTTTATGTTATATATTTTTAGTTTTATTTTTTTTCATTTTTCATTTAATATATTAAAATGGATTGAAAAGTTTTGAGCTTCGACGAAAAAAACTTTTATTACATTTTTTTCTTTCCTTTTTTTATTTTATTTAAATAGAATATAATAAATATAATAAATAAATAAATATATATATATTTTTTTATATTATTATAAATTTTATAAAAAAAAACTCGATTATTGATTTATAAAACAAATTTATTTGTCATATTTTTCATACGAATTTCATTGATGAAAATTAAAAAAAAAAATAAAAAAGAAAATCATGAAAAAGAGAAGAGAATTATTTCAACGATTGTTATAAATTAAATCAAATTGAGTATTATTATATTAAACACAATTACGACGTATTTAAAAAACACATGCACATACACACATAGATACATATATATGTATATATACGTTTTAATTTATCTCATCGTTATCAGCCAAACAAATGTGCTTTCCTTTGGATAATTTTATTTTTTTTTCTTTTTTTTTTTGTATTTTTTCATAGAAAATATCGATAATTAGATTTTAATCTTGTGAATTTGAACAAAAAGCGTAGGTGTTATATAAAATTATATTATCAACTTATCACTCTTTTTATTTTTTACCGATATGATGATAACATAATCAGAAATTGTATTATATACATATATATATATGTACAATCGTTAAATGTTTAATCAAATACACTTTCTTTCTTTCTTTCTCTCTTTTGTGATATTATATCTTTAAAAACAAAATTAAAAAAGAAAAAATAATATTGATTTCAAATTTGTAGAATAAATGAATCATTCGAAATAATGGGAACGAACGATACGTTTGAATATAAATGTTTACAATAAAAATAATAATAATAAAGATTAAATTGTTTATTATTGGGTTGGCAAGAAAGTAATTAATGTTATATAATAAAATATTATATAATTAATATATATATAATATTATTGGGTTAGGAAGAAAGTAATATTTCATCCTAAAAAAATCAAAATTACTTTCTAGCCAATCTAATATATGGAACAAAATAATATTATATCTTTAAAAAAAAAAAAAAATAAATAAACATTGATTCCAATTTTTGTAAAATAAATTAATAATCCAAAACGATACGTTTTAGCATAACTGTTAAAAAAAAAAAAAAAAAGGATAATAAAGATTAAATTGCTTATTATATGGAACAAGATAATTATAATACATAAATCAAAGAAAAAAAAAAAAAAAAACAAATAAATCCCAGGCTCGTAGAGATAAAGATAATACGAGAGATAAAAAAACAAAAAAAAAAGAAAAATATCTAAAAGAAAAACGTTTGCAAATGAAATATAAATCATTGGAGTAACGAATACTAATCTGCTTGACATCGAAACGTAAGAAGTTGTGTTTTTTTTTTGTTAAATTTTTTTATCTTTAAAAAAAAAAAAAAAGAAAAAAAAATGAAAATCTTCTAGAGTACCTTTTTTTATTTTTTATTTATTTATTTTTTTTTTTGTTTCTTTTCCGGAAAAGCTTCGTTAAAAAGCTTTGACTGTGATAAAATAAAAAGAAATCAAAAAATGAAACATTTCTCTCGTAAATTCTCAGGACTCAGGACAAACGAGTCTAATTGCAAATCTTGTTTATTTTTTTTTATTTTTTCTTTTCTTTTCTTTTTCTTTTTCTTTTACCTTTACTTTCCTTTTTTTTTTTTTTTAAACAATTTGGAAAGAAAAATAAAAAATAACGAGCATTGTCTAATGATATATCATTTGAGTTTTGAATTAGAATAAAATTCCTAATAATTCTTAGAATTAATCGACGATTTATATTATACTCTCATTGTTGTTATTCATTGTGTATGTTCCTTTTTTTTCTTCCTCTTTTTTCTTTTCTCTTTTACAGGGTTTACAAGAAAAGTTCGCAAAACGGTAAAATAACAGTTTACCTAGCAAACAGAGACCTCATCGTAAGTGAAGCGAAAATAGATAAGTTACAAGGTGTTTTATTGGTCGATCCAGAATATCTTCAAGAAAAGAGGGTAAGTCGTTTGAAATTATTTATTTATTTTATTCGTTGTTTTTTTTTATATTAATATTATTCTTTTACAATTAATTATTTTATTATTATTTCTTTAATTCTATTAATTATTCTATTTATTATTATCCTTTGAATTATATTAATTCTATTATATTTAAATTATTATTATGTTATTGCATATATTTCATTTCTATTAATTGTTTATTATTTATTCTTTTAATTCTATATTAATTTTATTATATTTAATTTCTACTATAATTAATTATTATTATACTTTTAATTCTATTCTATTCTATTCTATTATATTTAATTTATTATGTTATTGTATATACTTCATTTCTATTAATTATTTATTATTATTATTTTTCCATTAATTATTAAAATTCAATAATATCTATAAAACTAAACAAACCAAAACAAAATTAAAAAACATAATCATTTGTTTGTTATCTTTGTTATAACTTTATATTCGTTTTCTACAACATTGATATGTCAAAATTAATTAACCCGTTTGTACGAACCTTGTAAATTCTTCATTGAAAATTTGAACAGAAGTCACTTACATACAAATAACATAAATATGTGTGTGTGTGTATGTGTATGTGTGTGTGAGAGAGAGAGAGAGAACGTATGTATTTCATTTATGATAAATGACACTCCTTTGAAGTCCCTAAAGTAACGTAAGGTGTGAAAACGTTCATAGTTGTGTTTGCAAATGGGTAATTTTGAATTCAACGTTGTACGAAATAAGCAACCTTCAACTGTTGGTAACATTCTTCGATCATTAATTAACCACCTATTTTCGTTTGTCGAATCAAACTTAATTCAACTAAATAGAAATTAAATCTGATTTCTTATGAAATAATATAATGATTTTTGTGTCAAGTATAAATTATATGAATTTAAGATAAATCGTTGGTTGTAGAACCCTAATAATTTTTTTTTTTATTTTATCTTTTTTTCTTCAGGTTTATGGACAAATAACGCTGACGTTTCGTTATGGGAGAGAAGATGAGGAAGTAATGGGCCTAAAATTTTGCAACGAGGCAGTCATGTGTGTTGCCCAACTTTATCCACCATATTCTGGAGCAGATTATCACGAGATTGTAGCACCATTTCAGGTAAATCATTCCCACTTCTTTGTTTTTTATCTTATTTTATTTCAATAAGAACAAATTCATTTTAATTTCAATTAAACACACTTAATTTTTTTTTTTTTTTTCATTAATTATTGAAATGAATTTGTCCTTATTGAAACGAAAATATAATTAAAGAAGTTCAATACGTTAAATTAGAAAATAAATGTATTTATTTTTCATTACGAGTTGTTTTTTATTTATTTATTTATTTATTTATTATATTAAAAAAGAATAAATTTTAAGACTCATTTCAAGAAGGATTATTTTACGATTGTAAAAAAGGAAAAAAAAAAATAGTAAAATTTATAACCCATGGTACATCGTCAATATAAATTGTTCTACGTCGTATCATGACTATCAAACAAGTCACGTTTTACCTGTTACGAATGATAGGTATCGATCTAATCGACACTTAAGGTGAGTGTGAAATCGATCAGAATTTCAAGCAAGAGATTTTCTTCCCCCTTTTTTTTTTTCTTCTTTTTCTTTTTCATATAAGCGTTACTACTAGAGTCATATATGTATTATTTATAAAATTTCATGGAATAAATATCATTGTCGTAAATAATCTTTAACAGAAGATACATTTATGTAACAAACGTTGTCGAGAGTTTCGAATAAAATAACAAAAGAAAATTATAAAAAAAAAAAAAAAAAACATGTGTTTATATTACACAAGTTAGAAGTGAAACCTTTAAATAAACAAGTTTCGAGAATAATTTATTATATAATATTATTCTAATATTATTTGTACTTTTAATTTGTAATTATTTATTTAATTATTACTTTAATTATAAAAATACGCGCCTGTTCTTATGCAACCCTCCAGACACACTTTAAAAATGCTGCTTGCGAGCGCCATCTACTGGAACGGAATTTTTTCCAGTCAAAACTGTTTATACACGTGTGTATGACAGGTTGCCTATCTTTCGGGTAGAAAAAAAATTCCGTCCTGACAGATGGCGCTCTTAAGCAACATTTTCAAAGTGTGTGTTGGAGGGTTGCATTGATACAGGCGCACATTTTTTATAATAATTAGAAAGAAAGTAAATAATAAAACACTTTAAAAAATGTTTACAAATCAAATATTTTTTTTATAAATAATGATAACAATTGAACTGTAATATTGTAATTAAATTTATGCATATTTTTAGAATAACATTTAGTGCTTTTTATGAAATCAAAATTAAAAAATAAAATCAAATAATTTAATAATTATTTTATTAAATTATTATTTAATAATAAATATATATATACAGAAACTTTGGAAATAACATATTTGATTTGAAGGAGATCAAGCAAGAAGCAAGGATTGTTGGGTTTGAAATGACGTAGCTCGATTCGACCCCGTAGAGAATCTGACCCTGGCCCATATTATTCTTCAGCATCCCCTATAGAAAACCATTCCTCTCTCCGTCTCTCTCTTTCTCATACATTCTCTCTATATCTACCTGTTATAACTAGTAACACGATAGATAGAACCATTGTACATACACATGGAATCCTTGAACTCACGAAGGTGAGGCAAGGCCAGTTAGAAGACTCAGCAAATTTTCTTTCTTTCTTTTTCGCTCTCTCTCTCTCTCTCTTTCGACAGAAAAGAGACATCTTTTCCTTGTTCTTTTTTTTTATTGTTTTTTTGTTTTTGCATTTATAGAAAATAGAATATCCTTTCTCGACAAACCAAGAAAACTTAGATGTTTCTTTTATCTAATAATAATAATAATAATATATATACAATATGTATCATCAAAAAATGTAATTTCGTAATCCTTCAAATTTCACAATCCAACCATCATTTCAATTGTTATTCTACAATTTATTATATCCAATTTTACTTTGTCTTCTTCTTTCATTCTTGTTCTTCTTTTTTCTCTTTTCTTTTCATTAAATATAAAGTTTATGGTATTTTATGATATTCTAACGTTTATATGTCTGAATAAAAAAGAAACGAGGAAGAAGGAAAATTTATATTTTTTGCTCGTTTTTTTGGTTGGGTATATAGGATATTTTTTTTCTTTTTTCTTTTTTT